TCTTTATTGTGAATCATCAAGTGGCCTCACAGGGCTGGGACAGTATGCACCAATGCATCCCCTTGTGTTTCCTGCACTTGATTAATGTCCCATGATCAAGTGCAAAGGACACAGGATCAAGTGTCACTGCACCCTGCCCAAACTGTATACCTTACCTACACAGATCTGCAATGAAGATTCCAGCAGATCCATTTGTCATTGTTACATTAAATACACCATGGGACAGTAAGGGGGTCTCTGCCCACCATGAAGCAGAGGCCTGGTTATAGCTATAACCTCAGATCCCTCCACTGGTTGCTGTTCGTCTTATTCTCCTGCATGCACTGCCCTGTGGGAGTGTTTGGTTGTCCTCTTTCACCCAGCAGTTTAAAAAAAAAAAAAAAAAGACAATTACTTTAATGGTGGCAATAAACTTCTCATCTACAAATGCAATAATACTTAGTACATTAGCTGTTGACATCTTAAAAGCAGTGGGGTTTAGGAGGTAGGCTTATACAATTTGGCACAATTCCATGATCACATTTTTATAGTGAATATGTCTTTAGTTCTGCTGCTGATACCGTATATATATATATATTTTGACACACAACTACTAAACCCAGGACATTTCTGACTTACTCTAAAGGCATATATCTGCACAAGAGGTTTTCAGGTTTCTGTTTTCTGTTTGCAGCATGAGGAGTAATTGGCGCATGAATGGCTAAGTGGTTAGCACTTCCACCTAGCAGCACTAAGGTTGTCAGTGTGTATCCTAACACAGCACTACCTGCATAGAGTTGGCATGTTCTTCCAGTGCCTGTGTTGGTTTCCTCCCTCACTGCAAAGAAATGCTGGTAGGTTAACTGGCTCCTGTATAAATTGGCCCTAGCTATGTGTACGAATGTGAGTTAGGGATCTTAGATTGAGGGCAGAGACTAATGTGAATGTATAACATATACAGTATGTAAAGCGCCGCTTAAACTGACGGCACCATATATACAAGTACCTGAAATTAATAAATTAGAAGGATACAAAAAGCAATTAAAAAGGAGAGGGGTTACCTGGGGGGTTATAGACTTTTCCTGCTCGACTGAGAACTGAGACAAGAAACATGTTCTCATCTGTATCCCCAATGGAGACATTTTGAGGGCAGGCAGAAAACAGGTATCTCCCTAGTGGGTATGCAGATGATTATAAAAACCCAACAGAAGTTCTAACCTTTCTCCACCCTATTTAATATAAACTAAAAAGTTTTGATCCCCAGGCAGGCTGTGAAAATAAATAAGCAGCTCCAAATACCACACTCACCTTCTTGCAGCGCTGTCCCCCTGCCAGACTTAATCAGGGATCAAGGCATGCTCGCCCAGCATCATTCAATTCACATCCTGTGAGCTTAAGGTGTCAAGGCTTTGTCCCCTGCCCTGGGTTCACAGGTGAATGCTGGTGACACCACTGCACCAGACCAAGGTTTTTTGTTTTTTTTCCAGCTCTGGAGACTGTAAAAGTGGATTAAGGCCCTAAATCTAACTTTAACAACCCCAATTTTTCCCTAATCTTTAGACTTGATATACACAAATCAAATTTCAAATTTGGGACATGGATGACAATGTTGGTTCAAAATTCTTCAAAAAAGGATTTTGGTGGGAAATTATCAGCCAAACTGTGACTGCATCCAATCAGATGCAGTCACTGTTTAGGTATTCAGAGAGGAGTGCATGCTGGCTGTCAGGGAAAATTCCTCCATTCATGCTGTTTATGGTGGATGGAGGAACAGGCTGAATGGGAGAAATCTGTCTAGGAGGGGCTGTTCGGGTCTGCCTCTATGGAGCGGCAAATGTAAACGGACTTGTGTCCGTTTACATCTGCCTACCTCAAATCCAAAGTGACCTGCTAAAAACAAACAGACTACCCCTTTGATCTAGCAGATTGGATCAGAGGGTACTCGGGTGTAAACTGACAGCCAGTCCATTTACATTCGACCCTCCATAGAGCCCAACAGGCTGTGTCCATGTTGCTCAGCATGAGGGGAGTGGATATGGAGCTGTCATTCGCTCGCTCTGCTCAATGGAGATCAGCAGACAATGACATCTGAAGGCCGCTATTGAAGCATTCTGGTCTTCCATAACACCTCAGCAGTGCCACAGGCTGATAGCTTCCATGCCACACCTGCATTGAGGCAGTAATTGCTGCAAAAGGGGCCCAAACCAAGTACTGAGTACATATGCATGCTTATACTTTTCAGAGGTCCGATATTGTTCTATGTACAATCCTTGTTTTATTGATTGCATGTAATATTCTCATTTTCTGAGATTGTGGATTTGGGGTTTTCATGAGCTGTAAGCCATCATCATCACAATTATGACAAATCACGGCTTGAACTATCTTGCTTTGCATGTAATGAGTCTATCTCATATATTAGTTTCACCTTTTACGTTGCATTACTGAAATACATGAACTTTTGCACAATATTCTAATTTTTTGAGTTTCACCTGTAATTGCACAAAGCAGATAAGTATGGACATCTTTTTGCCATTAAATGTATTAGCATTAAAAATAAATAAAATACATTAGCTGCTATTCACAGAATATTCTTAGCTCTGTTACCAAAAATAATAAGATAAAGATAAACAGTCCTTTCAAATATAAATAACAAAACCGGATTTTGCTGCAATATTCAGTTCCAATCCAGAGATTTCCTTTGTAGTAATTTTTTCTTTTGCTGCATGTCCTCAGTCTGCAGGTTAGCATTGTTCAACCCACTTCCACTGATCCCAGGTCATTCTGGATTTACGACCTAGTTAATCTATCCAATCAATTTGTATCTTAGTAGGCAGACACTTGCACTACGTAGCTGTTGGCAGATTTGTTGAACAATCAGATTAATACACTCCTGTCCTACTGTACAGGGACTACAAAAGGCTGATACCGGATCAAATTCAGTTACTTACCCATCTTGCATATATAAAAATACATGATGTATGTGTGTATCTTTTTTTATCTGCTTAGAGTTCAGCTTTAATGCTGCTGATCCACGGGGATTCTAAGCAAGATTCCCCCCTTTGATCAGCAGCAGAGAGCAAACGTAGAGCTTTTATATTTATATATATTTTTTTTTCTTTTCTTGGTGTCAACTTGAAAATGCTGAAGAAGTTGAACTAAATTCACATAAGCAATAGGCAACCGACTGGCCTTTTTATCTGTCTCCGAGAACACAGACGCTACCTAGGCTTCATAAAAAATGCATATTGCACTGCCTTGAGTCATTTGAATGCAGTCAAGCAGATTTAATTTTTCATAAGTGTGATGCATCAATCCTGTTCAGATTTTTTTCTGTATCACAGATATGAAAGAAAAAAAGCATTTGTAACATGGGCTAAAAGCCTGCTATTGTGTCAGAGCGCCCAGACTGACGACATTTGAGACAAACAGGCTTATCGGATAAGACAGGGCGATGTTTTAGTGCGCCGGGAGGCACCAAAGCAGTGTCCAGCCCCACTGCCTACAGCTTGTCAGTCTATGATAGGCTGAAATATGCTGTGACTGGATGAATGTCCAGAATGCAATATACCTGTGTTCTGGGCATTCGTTCCCGAATGCATAAGATGCTAAATGTAAGAAGCGGTCAGCCCTATCCAGCCACAGGATATTTCAACCTGCTATAGACTTTGGCAGGCTGCAGGAATGATGGTGAACCTGTGCCACCCGGATGCACTAAAATGTCTGACTAGATGCCCAGTATGAAAGAGGACTTTTTTTTCAAACATAAACTAGAAGAAAAAAAAGACTATGCAAAGCAAAGCACCAGGTTCATTCCAAATCAGGTGCTCACAGCTAGTTATACCTACTTTCTCTTTGCTCCATCACAGCCAGGGAAGAGAGGGTGAGCTCCAAGTGATGACTTACGCTCACACAAATTGCAAACTGGTTGTACAATCTCCTTTAGTTCTACCAACAACTTTGTAGTACAAGGGCCTGCCTGAATGGATATACCTACCGTATATACTCGAGTATAAGCCAAGTTTTTCAGCACATTTTTTGTGCTGAAAAACGGCCCCCTCGGCTTATACTCGAGTCAACGTCTGGGGGGGCGCGAGGCTCCGTCAAGGGGGGCGCGTACAGGGGTGGGCAGAGGGCTGCTGTCTCTTACCTGGCTCCCACGATGACCCATCCAGGAAGCGCTGCTCCTTCCGTCACTCCGGCCACTCCCTCACTCCTGCCGCTCGGCTCCGCCTCCTCACCGGTGATTGGCCGCCAGAACTGTAGCTCGGAAAGGTACACAGGCGGCCAATCACGGGCGAGGAGGCGGAGCCGAGCGGACCCGCTCGAGCCGGTAAGTGTGCAGTGCAGCTGCTGCAACCACATTGCTGGCTGCAGCATACTGCAACAGGGGTCAGCAAGTGTCATTGGTGTCAGTGGGACCGAGTGTCACTGATACTAATGATGGGGCATTATTCCTCCCACTGACACCAACGATGGGGCACTATTCCTCCCACTGATACTAATGATGGGGCATTATTCCTCCCACTGACACCAACGATGGGGCACTATTCCTCCCACTGACACCAATGATGGGGCACTATTCCTCCCACTGACACCAATGATGGGGCACTATTCCTCCCAGTGATACCAATGATGGGGCACTATTCCTCCACTGACACCAACGATGGGGCACTATTCCTCCCACTGACACCAACGATGGGGCACTATTCCTCCCAGTGACACCAACGATGGGGCACTATTCCTCCCACTGACACCAACGATGGGGCACTATTCCTCCCACTGACACCAACGATGGGGCACTATACTGACACCAATGATGGGGCACTATTCCTCCCACTGACACCAATGATGGGGGGCTGCACTATTCCTCCCACTGACACCAACGATGGGGCACTATTCCTCCCAGTGACACCAACGATGGGGCACTATTCCTCCCACTGACACCAACGATGGGGCACTATTCCTCCCACTGACACCAATGATGGGGCACTATTCCTCCCACTGACACCAATGATGGGGCACTATTCCTCCCACTGACACCAATGATGGGGCACTATTCCTCCCACTGACACCAATGATGGGGCACTATTCCTCCCACTGACACCAATGATGGGGCACTATTCCTCCCACTGACACCAATGATGGGGCACTATTCCTCCCACTGACACCAATGATGGGGCACTATTCCTCCCACTGACACCAATGATGGGGCACTATTCCTCCCACACTGACACCAATGATGGGGCACTATTCCTCCCACTGATACCAATGATGGGGCACTGTTCCTCCCACTGACACCAATGATGGGTCACTATTCCTCCCACTGATACTAATGATGGGGCACTATTCCTCCCACTGCACCAATGATGGGTCACTATTCCTCCCACTGATACTAATGATGGGGCACTATTCCTCCCACAAGATACGGTATTTTTGATACCATATTGTTTTTGTTGACCCCATTTTCCACTTGGAGCTATTTTACTGTTTTTTTTTCGTTTAAATAAATATTCATGTGATTTTATTGGTCTCTATCTTTATTTTTTACATTGACTAGTAGGTGCCTCATTTCCCACCCTCGGCTTATACTCGAGTCAATAGTTTTTTCCAGTTTTTTGTGGTAAAATTAGGTACCTCGGCTTATATTCGGGTCGGCTTATACTCGAGTATATACGGTAGATTGGCTAGATCAGCGTTTCTCAACCGAGGTGCTGTGGCAAAAGGACAAATAACTGCCCAGTTTGATATGAGATTCTCTGCTTTACTACTGTATACAGACAGGAGGGATAGAGCACAGCCTGCACCTCCTCTCGGCTCTCTCCCCCTCTATGCTTCTATCTGTACTCTTGTTGGCAACCCATAATGCTGAGCGGGCTGCCCGCCTGTGTCCTGCCAACCGATGTCATTGGCTGCTAAGGACACATCGGGTGCCTGCAAAGCATTCTTGGTTGCCGACAGCAGCATAGATAATAGTATAGAGGAGGGAGAGAGCCAAGAGGAGGTGTGCTCTCCCTTCTGTCTGTATATAGTAGATAACACACAGTGGATCGCACTGTGCAGGATTTTATTATCGCCCACCATTCTCTTACACACACCACTCCTGTCCCTAAATTCTTAACGGGGGTGGTAATTTCTGGATCTGAGAGTGTTCTGTGTTATCTCCTAGAGCTTACACAGGGCTGAGTGGCCAATCATCAAACACCAGCACTGTTATGTGGGAGGGAAGTACCAATTATTAATAATTATTCGAGCTGGACCACTCCAGTGACCCCCCACTACTTTTTCCTCTGCTGTGGCTGGCACCAAAATATCCATGTTGGCTGGTGTTTTAGTCCACAGACACGATCCCTTTGCCCAAACGTTTCAGCCCAACCACTAACAACCCCCTCTCCAGCAATCCTCCATTGCTCCTTAATCCACTGCTACTGGCACCACAACCTCCACTGATGGATGTCCAAGCCTTCAGAGAGTGGTGTTGTCACCCCTATGTCATGTGACAGTGCTCAGGTCAGGAGATATTGGCTGCTAGATCCGACAGCTGTCACATGCTTCTCTATACCAGAAAGCACCAGGAATTCTGGTAGAAGAAGGAATGACGGGACAGCTAGAGAGATCATTTTTAGGGGGTTGAAGGGTTTTTACAGACACTGTCACTTTGGCAGGCCTTAGTTTATGCTTCATTTCCCCAACACATTCAGTGTTTATGGGGGAATCCCTCTGCAGTGTGGGAATCTCCTCTGCCAGCAGAATACAATTATCAGTGTTGCAGGCTATAGCCAGTGGCACTTATTGTTCAGGAACAACCTGACAGGCTGGTTGTACACAAGTTGATCAATAGATTAACTTGTGTAAAACCAGGGTGCCCATACAAGGGTCGAAATTTGGCTAGTCCCTGCTGAACCGGCCAAATTTCAATCAATGTATAGCCATTTTTTGGTCTTGAATGCTCCTGTTTTGTAACTACCTGACTTCACAAAGTGTTGCCCAGGTCCTGAGAGCGCATTACAGCATCAAATAATAGAGTTCTATTGTTATGTGGAGGGTAAACACAATGCTAAGTAAACACTCCTGCCCGTGACGTCATCTCAGCCCAGCCAATAAAAACATCCAAAGATGCCAGTGGGGAGTTCCAGGACACTGCAGCACTGGAGTGAAGGTGAGTATACGTCCATTTTAAGTTGACCATACAACAGTAAATTTTGGTTCTAAAACTCTAATTTTTGAACATTTAATTTTTCTAATGATTAGTAGGGTCAAATCCACAATAGCTTTTGAATGCAGTGAGGAGAAAATTTGAAGAATGTAATTTGTTTCTCTTATTACCTAAATTCTAACTGCTAATGTGGTTTTTGTTCAGGAAACATTAAGTGACTCAATCATGGCAAGAAAGAAGGTTGTAACAACCTGGTCCCCCCACTTTATTGTACAGCGCTGAGCAAACCTAATGGCGCTATATAAACACTATATAATAATAATAATGATAAATAATTTTTCTACGAATGTTCAAACGAAAATCTAGTCGTATATGGCCAGCTCAAACGTCCGGAGTTAAAGGTCATTTAAAGTCGAAATTTGCCTACTGCCTGGGCCCAGCTCTTCAGAATGACCATTAGTAAATAGCAAAGTCCCATGCTGCAGTGGTGGGCAAAAAGAAGAGTCATCCATCCTTGTATGTACACTTGTTTTCGGGTCAGTAATGAAGAAAGAGGGTCAGCATGTGAGCCAGGCAACCAGACATCAGTAACCTCCATTTTTATTTCATGATTGATTCCCTTTAAATAAGCCTGACGTTATTACGTGAACTGTAACGCACATCTTGCGGTTCAGGCCTGTCTTCCAGCAGTCTCAGGTAAACCATTCATGGCTTGCTTCTTACCCAGCCAGGACACTGTGTTCAATTACTAAGCTCAGTTATCCGCTTGACTGCCAGCTGTAGGCTCAGCTCTTTCTAAGAGTGTCTGGAGCTCAGAAATCCCCAAAAGACATCGTCCTTTGAGACAGCCAGGGACAGGCGCTCCAGAAAGGAGGGGGAGGAGGTATCAGGATCTGCTATACATACAACTCTGAGAGAGCATCGCTCTGCCTCCAGCCTGGATAAATCTCACCAATGCTGTTCTATACAAACCAACAGAGGTAAATTGATGTGTGGTCATTAAAAAAAAAATTGGATCCCTAACAATGACCACACAAAAACTACAAGTTTTTCACTCCAGTGTTAAATTATAATCGTCTTTATATTTTTTGCAATATTGCCACTAAAATTCCCTTTTTTAAAAAAAAAAATAGCTGCTTGAAAATCAGGTTAAATTTTTCAAAAATTGATTGGTACCAGTTTTCATCCCAGCTTAGTTCCACACTAACCTCAGAGTCTTCAATTCGTTACTGCTGCAAAAGATAACTCTCCAAAATATTAGATGGCTGGGATTAAATACTTCTGCAATCAGCATATTTCAGAATTTTACCTTTTAGGATGTTTGCAATATAAAACAAGGTCACCATAAAAAAATAATAATTTTTAGTGCCTTGAACTGAAAATATAATAAATAACATCTCCAGGCAAAAGTGAACCCCCTCCCACCCTCCTTACTTGAGACTTTTTTTTTAATCTACCTTCTGGAGCATGGATATATGCACCTACGTCTGTCCTCCGGATTCCTCACCAGTGTAATTTTTGGGTGTGAGGGACCAATAATCCAGCGGAGCAGATGAACCCATGCCGACGCACTGCCTTTTGCTGACAGTGTTGAAACATCTCTTATGAATTGTGAGAGGACCCTGCTGCTGTACAGCTAATCAGAAGTGTTCACATTTCTGCCTATGTATCGTGGACACTCAAAGAAAGACCCAATCTTTAGTATACAAAAGAGAGAAGATACAGGGATGTTCCACCTACTTAGAAACATAAAAGAATCACAGCAGAAAAAAAAGACCAAGTGGTCCATAGAGTCTGCCCCAATATATACAGTGTGTGTGTGTGTATATATATATATATATATATATATATATATATATATATATATATATGATATGAAAAGTCTACACACCCCTGTTACAATGTCAGGTTTCTGTGATGTAAAAAAATGAGACAAAGATAAATAACTTTTTCCACCTTTAATGTGACCTATAAATTGTACAACTCAGTTGAATACAAACTGAAATCTTTTAGGTGAAGGGAAGTAAAAATAAAAAAACTAAACTAATATGGTTGCATAAGTGTGCACAACCTTAAACTAATACATTGTTGAAGCACCTTTTGATTTTATATTTTTGGGTATGAGTTTAGCATCTTCGCCCTGGACACTAGATGACCTTGTTATGGCACTGGTGCACTGCATACATAACAGTCTGTTGAGGTAATGTGCTGAAAAAAAGCTGCGCTTTACTGCAACAAACAGGCCTGAATAGGATCTACAATTGCTGCCTTCTAAAAATGCTAGTTGCCTGGCTGTCTATGGTTAAAATAGCTTCAGGACAACAGACCTGGAACAGCTTAGAGAGTCAGAGCAAAGTCTGAACTCCTGATGGGTCGGTGCATTGAAAAATAGTGAAACCAATAGATTACCATGACAACCAGGAATTTATTAATTTCAAAAGGGAGGGGGGTAGGGTCAGCAATCTTAGCCCCCATAACTTTCTCATAACAGAGTCACTGTAAAGCAGACCATGTACTATATGCAAAGCTTATTATTAAGTGTGCCCCCTCTTCCCTTGCAGAAACCCCATATAAAATAAAAATAAAACATCTGTAGGTGAAAAGTTAGATAATATACTCACCTTTCCTTGGCTCCCATGATGTCACTAAGAATAACATCATCATCCTGGCGACAAAATCCTGGAGAATGCCAAGAAGTCCAAAATGTCAAAAACCCCACAGCACATAACATTCCCCAGGATCTTGCTGGAAAGAGGATGATGTCACCCTGATGTAGTCACTGCTGGCAAAAACAATGGCAAGGTAAGTTTATAATCTAACTTTTTTCATCACTGGTGTCTTGGGGAGGGGGTCAAATTTAAAAATCAGACCTTGCAATTTGGATCCAAGGTCTGCTTTAAACATTAACTTGGTAGTTATATTGGCCATTCTCTAATTGAACTTCAGTTATTCTGTCATTAATTTCTGAGCCCCTAGAGCTCAAATCTGAGGGCCACCACTGCCCTTTCAGACTTTGACATTGGACATTTGGCTCATGTCCTTGAGCTCCAAATCAGGCAGAAGTGATGACCTTCTGTATAGCATAAACCAGGAGCCACGACCTCTTGGGAGAGCAGAAGGCCAGTAGGAATTTATCACAGACACTTGGTATGCGCCACAGGTTGCTTTAGCAGGAATGTTGGTTTGACACATTGATGAATATGACAGGTTCACTTTAAAGTCAAGCCAACACTTTTACTTTGGTTTTGGATAGAG